TTTTTGCACAATACAAACACGCCCTTAAAATTAAAAAATATAGACATTATTATTATTATTATGCATTGATTCACTATCTATATTTTATTATTAGTGAATCAAACAAGAACATTAGATTCAGCAGAAGAGACACCGAGTAAAATCCTCGAGCATATCAACTTTTATTAATTGTTATATACATTAACCTTTTATTGCAATACGTAACTTGTTAAATATTTTTTTTTTAAAAAAGGAACAATTTTCTTGTAATCAACGAGAGAGAAAAATGGAAGTCGAGACGAAAGAAATCTTTTCCATCCACAACAAGAAACTTACCACCTCATCATCTATGAACTCAAAACATTCTGCTACAGCCGTGTGATGAAATATTCACACCAAAGAAACCAGTTCATCATCTATGAACTAAAAACATTCCACTTTAGTCATGGCATGGAGATGGATCGATGAAGCAAAAGCACCAACCCAGTGGGCAGTTGTTTTTCCTTCTCGTCTGGAAAAAGAATGTGTCATCACACAAACAACAATGGACACAGGCTACCGGTTCAGACAATTGGTGTTGAAACACCGAAGAGCTTAGAAGAACGGCTGGGGTTGAGACATCAAAAATCATCACGGCTGTAATGATATGTTCAATTCATCGACAAACTAGTAAATGAATCGACACGGCTTACAACTTCTTGCAATCATATTAATACAGTGATCTAATTCATTAAGAACAAAATAGAAAATGAAATAAGATTAATGGTGAGAGAGCAGAACAAACATAATTATAACAGTAGTAAATGAAGAAAATCAAAGTCATGGTCATCTCCCATCTCAACAAAGTTTCAGCTTATTAAAGACGAGGACAAAACCTTAAAGCATCTTTAAAGTGCACATGCATATCCATCCATAAAAACACAACCATAGATAATGATAATTTTCTGTGTAGATATCTGCAGTCTCCTCCACTCATCAACGAAGTAGGTTCTGCTACATCTCAGACTCCAGGCCAAGCCAAAAACATATTTCATACTTCAGATAAAATGTAGCTGCATGACAAAAAGCAAGCATCATCCCCACATTAAGCTTGTTTTAACTTGGAAAATATCACGATCTCCTTTGTTTAAAGGGTAGTAGAAGAATAAGAAGAATAAGAAGAAGAAGAAAGCATTAGATAAGTTGAAACTGGTCATTCTTCCAAAACAAGAATCAATGTAACATTATTGGAAAGATAATGAGATTTAGTGCCATATGAGTTTAGAGATTAAGACCTTGATTAGAACTTTGACAAAGTTTTCTGAGCATTGGGCAAATTCCAGCGCGGAGCCGCGCGGCTGGTGCAGGCTCTTTAGCCCCGTTGTCCTGCACCAGAAATGGGGTGGGGTTGGCTGATTGTCATTCAGAATCATCATAAACATCTCCATCAGAAAGATCATCAAATGATCTCATATCAAGCTGGTAACGGAGGATACCACCAATCCCACCAAACCCTCTGCAGAACTGGGATCCTTCTTGTGATTTGTTAGTAACAAACTCTAGCGTGCAACCAAACCGCTTGTACTCATTTGCAAACCACTCCAGCAGCGGCATTTTATCTTGAACTTCCAGTTCAGCTTTGGTTTCTGCATCCCTAAAGTTGTCCTGGTTGGTTTCCTGCTCCTTATTTAAATGTTTTATGACGATCTCACCAGTGGCAGAGTTTTTCAACTGGTACCTATTAATATCCAAACTTTCCCACACAATTAGAGTTTCAACAGCACCCATCTCCAAAGCTTTCAGCGTGTCATCAACACCAAAAACATATTTTCCCGTATCCTGACTTATCTCTTCAAAGTACTTGCCTATCAAGCGCTTCTCCTGGATAAATTTCACATTGGAAAGGATTTCCGCTGACAGTTCAATTGCCTGATTAAAACCATTTTCCCCTCCATATGAAACATCAACCACATTCAGAATTTTAGCCTGAAGTCGAGGATCAAACATGTCGGATTGACTAAGCTCAGTCTTGAAGTCAGCTGATCCAGCAAGTATCAAACCCGAAACATTAGGCTGGCTGGTGGCAGGGTTGATATAGAACTGTGTGGCAAGTTCTGCCGTCTTCCTCACATAGTTGTGGCGCTTCTCCATTCGAAGTCGAGCAAATCGAAGAGCAGATTGCCCTCCTCTCCCATGTTTCTTCGGAAGGTCAACAGTGAATTTATGCAGCACTTCTCTAGTGTTGCCACTCAGTGTCCCGAAAAGAGTCCCATTCCCATCCATGACAATAAAGCCGAACTTGTCATCAGATTCCAAGAGTTCGCTCAGAGCTTCTGTATGAAATTTGTTGTCACAGAGGTAAAGAGATGCATTTATGGGCCTGAAAGGCTCAAAGTCAAATGTCACTTTCTTTTCCTTCCCATCTTCAGTCACAATTGTCCCAGTGTAAAGCACAAGCCCATTGGGAGGAACTTTGTTGTAAAGTTTGAGCCTTTGCTGAGCAGATGTAATAGCACCAAGCACAGATTGACGATTGACCCTGCTCTTAATGTTTGACGCAGTTCCAAACTCATCTCCAAGCATCTTAGTGACACGAGAAATCTGATCACGTGGAGGCATGATAAGCGAAATCATGCTTGTGCCATTACCTCGAGCAGCTTCCAGTGCTTTGATAAGCTTTTTAATTTTCCAAATCTCAATGTTCTTATCAGTCTCATGACCGTCTGACATTGTGGCGTGTTTAAGAACAGACAAATTTACCTGCAAAGATAGCATAAGAACTTCATAATTAACCACCAAGACAAACGCACGGTCTGGAGATATCAAAAGGAAACAGCAAGTACCAGCAATATAATGTCTAGAAGTCTAAGTTCTTGTGGGAAACTACTTAGAATTAGAATCCAAATAACACTTTTAGGATTTCTAAATCAATAAACTAAACAGGAATATGATATAACCTTTGTAAACTAAAATGAGAGGGGGAAAAAACAGAACTAAACCCCAAACAACCATCACTAAATACAAAATCATAAACTAAAAATATAAACAATAAAGTAATTCCAGATTGCCTAGCACTGCTAATCAAAAGTCAACGAGAGAGAAACAGAATGCACACATCGAAATTCAATTTCAAAAATATTAAACAACGTAAAATCATGAAATTCGCTAAGAGAATCTCCAGGATTATGACACGAATCACAGAATGCATCATGGAGATCAAATGAAAAAAAAAATCTAAAACTCAGGAGATAGTATCTGATACTACTACTATAATAATAATAATAATTGTTGAAATATTTTAATTTAATATTAAAGATATGGGGGATAGAATAGAAGACGGGGACGCACCTATCGCCTCCCGAGAAGAACAGGTGGGTCTTTTATTATTTGTCTGCGAAGAGAATCGCAGGAAAAGATCGCACGCATTTTATATTATAGGATGCCCTAACCCTAACCCTATCCTAGCCCTAGTTAATTAACCCTGGTTAGATTAAAATACCCAATCATGGTTATGGTTAGATTGTTTATTATTATTCGGAGAACAGTAAAATAAATTGCGTGCTAAAGGGACGGAATAAAAGAACACAGGGGTGTGTGGCTGTGTGCAGTTTCAAAAAACAAAATCTCTATTTTCTTTTTTCTTTTTTCTATTTGTAAGGGTGTATCATTTGAACACAGAGTTCTTTTTCCTTGTTTCTCTTTATATTTCTTGAAAAATTATTGGTAATTAGAACTGTGGTTGTTATTAATTTTTAAAATATTTTTTATTTGGAAAAGTATAAAAATAATATTTTTTTTATTTTTAAAAAATTATTTTTAATGTTAGTATATTAAAATAATTTTAAAATATTAAAAATATATTAATTTAAAATAAAAAAATAATTTTTTTTAAAATGCTTTTTAAACGCATTACAAAACACCCCGACTGAAGAAGAAAAAGAAAAGGAAAATACTTGTTTCTTTGTTGTTACGAAAAAACTCACGAAGTTCTAGAGTTAATTGTAACATTTATCAGAATTAATTAATCAATTCCTATGAAGGATGGATAATAATTGGATTTGATGGGCCAAAGATTGACTTTTATATTTAAAGATGATCATTATGTATGAAATTGCTATGATTTTTTTAAATGTTTCTCAACATTTGATTACACCTCTGGCCTTTCTTTCTTGATATGGTCTTATAATGTTAATAAAAATTAGGTTTCTCGTGTCTTAAAGTCACATATACAATTCATATAGAAATTTAGAGAAATTTTTGTAGTATTTTATTAAAATAGATATTCTTATTTATATTATTCATAAAAAATTTTATAAAAAAAGTCATAATTAAAACTAAAATCCTTTATAAAAAAATATTTTTAATTAAAAATTACATAATTAATAGAATCTATTCAGTGCTAGGATTCATAAATAGTAAAATATTAATTAAATTAAAAATTTTAAGCTAAGTAGAAAAAAAAATCTAAATATACAAAGGTAAATTAAAACAATCCTACACGTTAACTTCCAAGTTTTATTTTAAAATTTTCTCAGGCTTCACGTATAATGAGATTTTAGCCCTATAAAAATAAAATCTTCATAATTTTTTATTAAAATTTTAGCTCAATTAAATAATTAAATTAAAAATTATATTTGATTTATCAAATTATATCTTATACCCTTTCCAAAAATTTTAAAACCTAAAACTATCAAATAAAACAATACAATAAATATTATTATGCCAAAAATGTTGATGAAATTTCCCCATGTCACCAGCCATTTGTTGGCTAGTATGTTAACAAATCTGCTTTTTAACTACGATAAGTTTTTAAAATCACAGAAGCAACTTGTTGCCAGAACTTGAAAAGGTAGATCACCACCCTTGTTTTTTTTTCTTTTATGTTGAGAGATTATGGAAGTAAGAAAATTTATACGAGAAAATTAGTTTTTTTCTACCAATTAAGAAAAATAGAGCATTTAACTTCTTTGTTTAAGAAAATGATTTTTTTTCATTTTTTAAAATTATTCTAATATATCACTAAACATTTTAAAAAGTAAATGGGATGTATATTCCACCAAAGGGAAGCTCTAGTTTTGATGAAAAGGTAAACTCGAGAGAAAACCGGGCGCCGGAAGCTGAGGTTTGGAAGAGACAAAGCACCCGGTCCTGGTAGAGCTGAGAAAATGGCATGGAGAGGACAGCTTTCTAAGAACCTGAAAGAGCTTCGAATTCTGTTAAGCCAATCTTCCCGTTCAAGTTCGACTACTAGGTAGACATTCGCTAACAAGAATCTTTGAAGACATCATCTTTAGACATTTCGATTTGATCGTATCCTATCATTAATGTTTTGCTTGTACAGAACATTTATAGAGAAGAATTATAAGGATCTCAAAACCCTTAACCCAAAACTTCCCATCTTGATCCGTGAATGCAATGGAATAGAACCTCAGTTATGGGCTAGATATGGTATCCCGCTTTTCTCTTCCTTTTTTTTTTTCAATTAATGTGAGCGTCTGGACCAGTTTACGTGCACCACGACTAATTCTATGGGTCCTGAAATTAATAACCATGTAAGTCTCCAATGGTCATTATATAAACAACCAAGGATTCAAACCTGAGATCACAAAGGGAACAATCCCCTTGATCCTAAATTCTTACCGCTTGGTTATCAACTAAATGATTACCGTCTTATTTCACTATTTCTTTAAATTTCTCGCTGTTAGATTTTGCTGTTACTTCTGTTGAAATTCCACGTGCATTTGATTGGTTTATGGTTGAATTGCCTTTATTTTGTTTTTATGTGGATTTATGACAATCTTTTGAAGTGGGATTTGTCTCTTTTCTTTTTGCTTTTGTAATGAATTAGTGGGTTTCCCATTGTATTTAGGACTTCAATTAGTTCTTAGGGCTCAGAGCTATGTTTCTTTTTGCGTATTTGGGTAATTAAACCTTGGCCTTAGATACTCTAGTTGGGCAGGATTTTAGAGTTTACTGGAAGATTAAGAATTGTAGTTCTTGTCTTCTGAGATGACTCAAATCAATATAGTCATTTCAAATAACCGAAGTCTACGACGTTTAATTGGATAATAGGTTTGAAAATACCCAAATTGAACTAGAATCTTGGTCTCGGATCCCTTCTATCAAATACTCAAGTCAAATGCATCCTAAACAGCAATTAGCACGTACAGGCCCTTTCTCAATTTGTTTTTTTATCCTTTTCGTTCTAAAAATATTCGTATTATTGAGAAGCTGTGAGATATGTTATTGCCACATATTTTCTCTAGTTCACATCAATAATCTTATGGGACTGAATGTTGTATGTGCCAATGGCTAAAAGTCTTGGCAGCAGATAATCACATTGTACTAAATTGATTTTCCTAATTACAAGTTACACTCGTGGTTCCAAGAAATTGTTATAGGTTAAGTGGTTGAGCATGGTCATAGTCGCCATATTTTTATGGCCAACTGATACACTTCATTTCCACTTTCCTTGAATTTGTTATATCAACCGCCTAACTTAGCTTGAAACAACATAAGTTCCAATGATAAGGTAGTAGGTTAGTGACAGCTTACCCTTTGTTCAGTGGAATAAGACGCTTCTGATGGAATATCTGAGGGGCAGATCATGCTATACAATTTTCTGTAGCTTTAAAGTTGGAAGGATTAGATTTCTTTGCCGTTACTTCTTGTCTATAGTTTCTCGTTACAGAAACAGTTAAAAAAATTCATGGGTCATTTTTTTGTAATGTGGTATTTGCTGAAGCTTGTTTGGGGCTATTTCTTTAATTGCAGTCCAAATCTGAAAGCTAAGGTGTTTTGGACATTAAACGTTAGGTGTTTTATTTCCACAGCTAAAAGCTATGGTGTGATTGGAGGTTCATGTGATGATATTTGCAATCTGCGAAGTTAAAAACTTTGACACACGAAGAAAGAGAGGTGTTCCTTTAGCACAGCCTATGCTTAACATATTTTCTGCTTTCAATTATGCTTTTTCATCACGTCCTGCAATGTGTGGATGCCTTATCCAAACCTGTCATTTGGCTAAGAAACTCGAAAATAGGAGGTTGTGTTTTGCGTGATGGTGAATTAACACCAACGTGTCTGCAACCATGGGCATGAATTGTTGCTCCATGTTCTTTCCTTGTTCATTCACAAGTGCATGCTGTACTTCATGCTGGTATACGTTTGAGTTGTGTGATATTTTTTCCTTGGGCAATCACGGGTTAGTTCTTTAGCTCTATGATTGTGATGTGGAGTTGTGCAATCTTTGATTTCTATGCAGATTTTGGTGTTGAGAGGGGCTTTCGGTTGGAAGGTTTAAGCGAGGCCCAGATCTCGAAGGCCCTAGAAGAGCTTGGGAAAGTGGGCGCATCGCTTAAGGTTTGATTTCGGTGCTGTTCATCCCTATGAAATCAAATAAATTGATATTCTGGGAAGATCTATTAAGTCTGCGCTCTGGTGTTCTCTTTTAAGATTCTTATTTGGGAGTTTGGCATCCCGTAATCGTTGTCTTTGAGTTTGATCGCAATAATAACATGGCATAAGCATGTTTCCTTCCTGTGGAATAGCTAGCGTTGGCATTCTTCGTTCTGGTATGGATATGCAGCACAGCTTTTAGTTCTGTCCAAATTGGACAGGACCTCGAATCTGCAAATCTTAAATGGTCATTTTCCATTTTACCTCTTAGCATTTGTTTGGAGTATGCTATGGACTGTCAACTCCAACCAAACAGTTGGTGGCAAATGGTCTTTCCTGAAGACACTCTGTGAACATTGACATGTTCGAAGCTTGTCTTTTCCATATTTCCACAATGATCTTTAGAAATGTAAAGTGGTTTTGTTAGAATTTCGTGGGCTGTGGATCTTATAAAATCAACCAAATTCTTTCTTTGCGACGGTTTAACTTTGTTAAATGATCGACCATGTCATTCAATGACATCGGTTTTTCCTATACCTCAAGATCCGGCGTCTTCTTCAAACTCTAAGAAGTAGAGGCCAAGGATGTACCAGATCCGGTTCCACTTATGTAAGCTAGTCCGAATCATGTTTTCTCCAAAGCAAGACACATTTCACTGTTTATTACAACAATAAAAAGTACCTTTAACCAGAAAAACTAAGGAAACTTGCAATTAGAGATACAGTTGTGTTTTAGGGGATTTATTAGTAATTGTGAAATTAATTAAAGAAAAATCGGTGAGAACATCTTTTTTTTTTATCACAGTAAAATAACTTTTTTTCCTCTTAAAAGCAACAAAATATTAAGCTTTCCACCAAGGGTTTTTTTGTCTTTTATGTAAAATCACTCAGTAAAGTTACGGTCATACTTTTAAGAGAATGGACAGGCAACATGCATAAAGGTGTTTCTTTCTCTTTTTTTTATTTTTTTTACTTTTTTTAATTGTTAAATTGTATAATAATCCTTGAAATTTTAAAAAAACTAACTAAGGCTGGTTTCAAGGAGATTTTAGTTTTTTCATTCTGTTTTTTTATTTAGACAAGGATTGTTTAATAATTAAATATTATAAAAAAATAATAGGTTAGTTGAGTTAATCCGGCTTGAATTAAATTTTTTTTCGTAATGTTTTTTTTATGAAGTTGATTTATCTTTTCAATTTAATTATTTGACATTAATTATTGATTGTTGAGTTTTATGATTTTTTTGTTTTTTTTATTTAGTTATCCTAGATGTGGATTAGTTAAATTAATTTTTATTTTTAATAGTTTTTTATTTAACTTTGGTTTTTCGTACTAGTATCTCTTTAAAATGTCTATTAATTGATATTAAGCTTTCCACGGAGGGTTTTCTTGTCTTTTATGAAAAATCACATAGTAAAGTTACGGTCATACTTTTAAGAGAAAGGAAAAGCAACATGTATAAAGGTGTTTTTTTTTTCTTTTTAATTGTTAAATTATGTAATTGCCCTTGAAATTTTTTTAAAAAAAACTAAGGCTGATTTCAAGGAGATTTTAATTTTTTCATTCTGTTTTTTTTTATAATTTTTAATAATTAAATGTTATAAAAAAAATAACAAATTAGTTGAGTTAATCCAGTTTAAATTAGATTTTTTTTCTCAATGTTTTTTATGAAATTAATTTATTTTTTTAATTTAATTATTTAACATTAAATTATTGGTTCTTGAGTATTGTGATTTTTTTTTATTAAGCTATCCTATGTGCGGATTAGTTAAATTAACACGAGTTTTTTATTTTCAATATTTTTTTATTTAACTTTGGTTTTTCTTATTAGGTACCTCGTTAATATGTCTATTTTTTTATCTTGATCTTATATTATAGGTGGCAGGTTAATAAATATTTTTTCCTCTATTTTTTTATAATATTGATTTTTTTAATTCTATCATTTAGCATTAATTATTGGCACTTAAGCTTTGTTATTTTTTTTTTGCTTTTTTTTCTAGTAGGTTTATCTTATGAGTGTGTTAATAAAGTTAACTTGGATTAGCTCGGGGGTTTTTTAAGTTATTTTTATTGAACATTGGTCTTTTTTTTTTACTAGGTTCCTCTTTTAAAATTCTATTTTACTTCAATCTCATATTGTAGGTTTTGAATTAGTCACATTAATCCAGGTTGACTTAAGTTTTTTTTTTAAGTTATATTTTTTAAAAATTATTTTTTTTGTATTCCTTAATATTAAATTATTAGACTTTGATTTTTACAATTTCTTTTAGCTTTTATTTTTGTGGGTTATTTTGATTTCATATATCAAGTCCTGTGTTAGTAGAGTTAACTCGGGTTTGTTCAAATTATTGTCACTGGTGCATCATTTTTTTATGTTAGAAAAATTCTAACTTGGTTCGCGGTATAACGTTAACTACCTATTTAGTTTATATACTAAAAGAAAATGATTTTTTATTGTAGAAATAGTATAATTGTAAATTTTGTCAATTTTTTTACTATTTCGGTGGCAAATATATAATTTTTCTTTTTTCCCCCCTAAAAAATCCTTATATTTTTTCTTAATACTTGGCATTTTGTCATTTTATATTTGGTCTATTTATCATTATTTTTTTAACTTTATTTTTTTGTAATAGCTTTTTTAGAAAAGAATATTATTATTTATTTTTTATACTGTGAATATATATCACTCAACACTTGGCTTATTTATATCATTTTTATTAACACATATAATTTTCATTTTGTTTATATATAAATATTGACCTTTTAATTTATAATTATAATTTTTACTTTGTATTGAAAAACATGTTAAAGTATCTCTACATTAATTCTTTTATATTAAAAAAAAATTATTTGACTTCCAACTAGCAAGTTGAGAGTGTCCAATGGTGTAACAGAATTACATTATTGCAAATCTTTTTATTAAATTTTGTAGCCCTACAAATAAAGATGTTATGTTTAATGAGAAGAATGAAGGAGCAACGTGAATTAAAAAAAAATAAAAAATCCCTCCTCCTTTTTAGATGCATAAGATCTTGATTTAACAACACTCGACAATTGCGATGCCGATTCAACAACTATCCTTCTACTTCGTTACACCATCATCGATATCTTTTGGCTTGACAATCGTGTGTGTGAATTTTTCAATGGGATAAGATGCTGTCGGTTAAATAAAAGGGTTGAACTAAGCCTCTTTTTGTTTTTTTGCGCGCGGTGTGCGTCCCGAACGCCATATAAAGTTTTTTTTGACGACGGAGCTGAGCAGCACACGTGGTTGTGGTTCCTCTGTCTCTGCCAGAAAGCTTTGTGGGCTTTTCTGGTCCATTCAAATATATGGGAAACAAGGAACCTTCGTTCGCTTCAAGGCGAAGCAAGGGCAAAAGGAGTTGCATTTCATCTCATGACACACGCCTTTCTTTTACCTCCACCAAGCAGCCCATAGTATTCCATATACCCACTCGCCACTGGTTGCAGGCTCTCCTTTCTACGGCCTATGAGGGCGGTGAAAAGGAACGAACATCAAATTACAACCTTTAATTCTCGACAGAATATGACACAGCCGCTTTTCCAACAGCTCGTGCTTTGCTGAGTGGCACCGCCCCACTCTCACAAGCTCAGAAACATGATAACATTAATAATGCAGCTTCGTATAGATTAAATTTGTTTGTGACTCTTAATCCATTAAGGTATCGTGTCTCTTTACCTAATGCTTCACTTCAACTCTAATCTTTCTCGGATATTGATCTCTTTATTAATTTTAGTGGATTTGCTGTTGAATCTACTGTTACCATTATTATTCCTTTGGCTTGAACAAGTAAATAACAACTCCTCTCGTTCTTGAACTAAACCACTCTGTATTCATTAACAGATAGAGGAAAAGAAAAAAACAAACAATCACGGCTTTTTGAAACAGACAACAGTTTCTCATTTTGTAATAGTAAAGGAAAGGGGAAAAAATATAAACAAAAGATATTATTATCCAAAAAAAAAGAGAGAGGAAGAATTCATTAAAAAATTCTCTATGGTGTTTAGGAAGTAATTAATAGTATATTATTAATTATTTTTAATGTTCATTTAAAATAAATAAATAGATACAGATAGATGAGAGGAATATATGAATATATTCTTATCACTGTCATTAATTTTATTTTCTCTCTTTTTTTGGTGTTTATTTTTTTCCTTCAAGATTTATTGAAGGAATAAATAATAGGATTTCATTAATTACTTCCTAAAAATCATAAAATTTCTCAAAAAATCTCATTTACCATTGCAATTGGAACAATTAAATTTAGAAGGAATGATTTAAGAAAAAAAGAAAAGAAAAGGAAGAAGGGGGATTGGTTATGAAAAAAGGAGAAGCCCCCCCATCCTCAGCCTCTGTCTAGAATTGCATTTTTAAAACTATGGCCTGCATATAAAACTATAGTTTTAAAAAAAGCATCAAATTTCTGTTTTATTAAAATTTATTTTAAGTATATTAAGTTTCTAAAACCATAGTTTTAAAAGGTTTTACTTTTGATATTTATTTTTGCATTTTAAAAATATTTTAAAAAAAGTTAATTTTTTTTATTTTTTCTTTAAATTAATATTTTTTTAATTATTTTAATACTCTAATATAAAAAATAATTTAAAAACTAAAAAAAAAATTAATATATTTTTAAATTAAAAAATAATTATAATCATACTTTAATCGGATATCATATCTTTAAGAAAAAGGAAACGATTTGTAGACAACTATTGTAATCTGTAGAATTGACAACATGACGTGGAGTGCATATAAAACGGTAAGAAATTCCACGTGAGGGGAGGTGCACTCCACCCTAGTGGGAGGGTAAGATGTGCTCTCCGAATCATAGTTGTACAACTTTAATTAATTCGAAACACTATTTAAGTTACTTGTCATTGGTGAACTCGTAATTTATTAGGTTAATATTTTTTATTAAAATAATATTATTTTATTTTTTAAATAAAAACTATTTAGTATTAGCCCAATTAAAATTTAATTAAATCAATCAAATCACTAAAAATTTAATTAAATTAACCAAGTTTTTATAAATCAATATTTTATTTCATTCAATTAAAAATCACGCTAAAATTAGAGTGAGTCTCAAATTTAGAACCAGTGTATATAAAATAGATTAAAATTAAAAATTATAATCTAATCAATTCAAAGTTTAATCCTAAACTGAAATATTGTTCATCCTTCTTAATTTAAAGAATTCTCTTCTAAGCTTTTTTTTTTCTCATTAAAATTTTAATTCTTTTCCCTTATCATCTCCATTTATTATTTTTTATATGAATTACAGTTTTTTTTAAAAAAATCTTTATTAAACACGTATTACTATATTATATTTTTCTAACCTTATATTTCTTAAATTTATAAATTAAAAAAATAT